GAAGGGTTGGCTCCAGGAATTTTGGTACTACAGTCTTTGAATGCTCAGTTCCCTTATATAAAATAGTGTCGTATTTTCACAGAACCTGTGTACTTCCCATATACTTTAAATCATCTTTATAAAACCAAATTCTGTATAAACAACTGTTAGACTATTTAGAAAATAACAGCAAGAAAAAAACATGTGAACATGCAGGTGGTAGTGGGGACCTCATAAACCTAGCTTTCTCCTCTGTTCATGGCTGAACCCACAACTGCAGAACTTATGGATTCAATCAAATTGTGTTTTCAAAGGCTGCTTCTTTTACTTGTGCTGGTTCGTTCAGTTACTGCTTCTCAGTGACACTGAGGAATGTGTCTAACATTCCAGAAGAGAAACTCAAGTAAGGCCAAACAAATGTTGGTCACTGAGTGAACAGCTTTCTCAGTGTTGACTGTTCAGACTTAGTCCATCTTAGTCTTGGTGAAATTTGAAATCTTGAATCTAAATTTTAAAATTCATGTTGACAGTGGTGTGAATGGGATGTGAATCTATTTGCTATAAAGAATGGGGGGAGGGGTGTTGTTTTCGGTCCTGGGAATTAAACGTGGTTGGAGCCTTGCATGTTAAGCAAGTGTTTCACCACTGACCTGAATTTCCAGTTTTTTAAAAAAGCACAAAACAGAATTCTGTTTTAGAAGTCATGATTTTCCCCCTTGGTTTTATGTTTTTCACAGTAAAAACAACATGTTTAAATGGCTTCATAATACCCTATATTAATAAGTAATCCTTTCCTTCTTGATGGACATGTTCTTTCTCAAGGTTTTAGTAATGTGAATACCTTCATAAGGAACATTTTTGTAATCAGGGTTATTTGTTATTTGCCATTTTTTCTCTGCCTCTTAAACATTTTTATTTTCTTTTGTATTTTAGGGATCCAGAAGGCTTACGAGTATTTTATTATCTTGTCCAGGACTTGAAATGTTTAGTCTTTAGTCTTATTGGATTACACTTCAAGATTAAACCAATCTAGATTGGATATTGTGGACTTGAGGGGGGTGGGGGTTTTTAGTTACCGTAATTAGGAATCTTTTTCTGTATATTGGGGCAATTTTTATAAACAAATGATGGTCTTTAATAAATTGATAACATCTACTTTTTTGGTTATTTTTCTAAACACCTGAATGTGTGAATTAAGTCTCAGGTAAAATACAAACTTTTGTGAGTGCCAGGGAAATGGCCTGACATGATCACCACCATCCACATCCCTAAGATCCACATGGGCCAGCCAGCCTGGACTAAGCCACCCAGCAGCAGAAACAGGGACCCCGTCTCCAAAGGTGGAGGGCAAGAAATGACAATGTCTATACCTGTGTTGTGGCATGAGCATGTGCTAGTGCACACACAAATACTAAGTAATTTTTCTCTTTTCTTGGTTTTTCGAGACAGGGTTTCTCTCTGTAGCTTTGGAGCCAGTCCTGGCATCCACTCTATAGACCAGGCTGGCTTCATACTCACAGAGATCCACCTGTCTCTGCCTCCTGACTGCCGGGATTAAAGGAGTGTGCCACCACAGCCCAGCCATATACTAAGTAATTTTTAATACATTGAGAATTGTGAATCTCACTAGCAACATTCAAAGGAAATTCCAGAACAAGTTTCCTGGGTTTTGTTTTAATGAAGAGCCTCCCTTCCCTTTACTGCCCAGGATGGCTTAGAACTTGGGATCAGTCTCCCAAGTGCTGGGATTACAGGCAGGGGCCAGTTCAACAAGATTTCTTAAATTACAAGGGAAACGGAACCTGAATATTTGCAAGACAAATCATGCCAGTTCAATTTGGTTTCTTAAATTACAAGGGAAACGGAACCTGAATATTTGCAAGACAAATCAATTGCTGGAGTTATAGTTCAGTAGTTATAGCCTAGCATTCATGAGGTCTTGGATTTGATTACCACCAAGACAGACAAAGTAATGCAATGTTTGACCCTAATTGGGTCATGATAAAAAAACAAAACAAAACAAAACAAAAAAAAAAAAAAAACTAAAGTTGACATTAAAGAAATTTGAACATTGGCTGTAGGGTTTACATATAGTGTGTGCGTAAGACTGGGTTTTGCGGGGCCGGAGAGATGGCTCAGAAGTTAAGAGCACCGACTGCCCTTCTAGAGGTCCTGAGTTCAATTCCCAGCAACCACATGGTGGCTCAAAACCATCCATTATGAGATCTGGTGCCCTCTTCTGGTGTGCAGATATACATAGAAGCAGAATGTTGTATGTATAATAAATAAATAAAATCTTAAAAAAAAAAGACTGGGTTTTGCACATACTAAGCAAGCACTCCACCACCAAGCTACATTTCACAGCTGGGTAGTGTTTGCTTCTTAGGCATGAAATTGCATTGTGGTTGGGCTTTAATTTTTTATAGATCGTGTATTTCAATGTGGAGGAAAACTGTTCAGCAGGTAGATTGGTAGGAGCTTTCTTTTGCTGTTACATACATTTCATGGCTTTATGCAAATAGCTGGTTAGACTGCACTAGAAGAAATGGGGCTTGATAGGTTTCATGTTTCTGAAGAGACATGATTAGCCTAAATACACATTCTTAGAGACAGTCCAACCTAAGCTTTCTCAGACTCTTCATACTTCACTCTGCCTGCTTCAAGTTAGGGGTATCATTTATAGCTGACAGTCAGGACGCCAGACTATTGAGATACTTAGAGGCCAGTCTAGTCATTTCAGAAAAAGGTGGGTTTTACTTATTTTAATGACACGAGTGGGGAGGCAGCTCAGCCGTTAAGCGCACTTGTTGCTCTGGCAGAGTACCCCGATCCAGTTCCTAGCGTCCACACGGTGGCTCACAGCCATCTGTTAATAGGGGATCCGGTGCCCTCTTATGGCCTCGGCGGGAGCTGCATGCGTGTGGTGCATAGGCAAGCAGGCAAAACACTCAAAATCATAAAATTAAAACAAAGATGGGGTTATCAAGGTGTCACGAGGATGACATGTTCTCGAATATTGATGCCCACGGCCTCGGCAGTGTCGGTAAAGATAAAGACAGAAGGGAAGAGCCCGCTGTTTTCAGACATAAGGACCACGAGGACGTGGACACAGCGTATCCCTGTGGGCTACACAGCACCAAGTCCGCCATGTAGATCGAGCGAGCAGTTCGGCGGAGCGAGGCTGCCACGTATCCTGAGAAGACTCGGGACCCCAGGGTGGTAAGGAGGCAGAAAGAAAACCGAGGGCCTAGAGCAGTCTAGCAGAGGTTTCAAGCCAGAATGCCTCGCCTGCTTAGTGATGGCACAGATTTAGAATCAGGAACTCTGGCATTAGCGATTCCACGGGTTCATTGGCACCCGGCAGGTTAAGGTGAAACAAGCTGTAAGCAGCCACCAACGCCCCATCCCCGCCCACCAGCACTGAGGCTGCGTGGGCGGTGCCAGCCTTTTACGACGGGCCGGAAAGCAGCGGTCGCAGCGGCATAACGTGGATCCGGCAGCTATGGGGGTAAGGGGCGGCGATTCGCCACCGGAGCGTCCGGTAGCCGAACCGGAGGTGGGGTGGAGGCGGCGAGGACCTGAGAGTCGGGCACTCATGCCAGGAGGGAGTGGAAGGAGTGGGCTCGCCTTGAGGCCCGGGAGGCCGGGCTTGAGCTAGGGTGGGGCGGGGCAGGCTGGTGCGCAAGCGCAGCCGTGCATTCAGCCTGGCCCGCCCTCTTCTCAGAAAATCGCGCTACAGCTCAAAGCCACGCTGGAGAACGTCACCAACCTTCGGCCAGTGGGAGAGGACTTCCGGTGGTACCTGAAGGTGCGGCGGGGGGGGGGGGGGGCCCCCCCGCGTGGCGGGGAGGCGGGGGGTGGGGTTCTCTCCCCGCCCCCCGCCTCCAGGCTCCTCCCTTTCCTCTAAAACCGGACCACGGCCAGACCAGAAATACCCTGGCCTCTCCTCAGCATTCCTCCCCACCGCGCAACCTCGCGATGCCACTCCTCACCCGGCTCCAGATCCAGGTTCGACTTCGTTCCTAACGTCAAGGATCCCAGGCTCCACTTCCGGTTCCGAGGGAGCTGGCGTGCCGTCCCCGGAAGTTCCGCCCCATGCTGTAGGACTGGGGGAGCCACCCCTTTGCCACGTCGGCCTTAGGCGCGCATCCGGAAACCCGGATGCCGCGCATGCGCCTTTGTTATCTCCCGTTGTGGCTGCTGTCTGGGCAGCAACCCTGAGAATCATGCTTTGTTTTTGTTTTTGTTTTTGTTTTCTTCCAGATATTACAGACTCTTTATGGCTTTACCAGCTGAGAGGGTGTTGAGAAAACTATTTTAGTAACGCCTCCTCTGTCATGCTGTGACACATTAAGAACCTCTAGTCTTGTAGCCACTTCCTGTTAACCTTTCACCCATTGATTTGCGTCCCGCAGGTAGATCTTACCCCCCGACCTTTGAGCCACGCGTGGTGGTGACACGGTACTACCCTTGCTATGAGGTTGTGTGCTTATGTGTTCGAGTTTGGGTCCCTTAGTTCAATGCTTGGACACTTCTTCACTTCTTTACTACAACGAAAATAATGCCTATCGAGCATCGAGTTGCAATGGATTTAGAGACATTTCATAATTGTCTAGTATAGTGTTCAATAAAGATTAGTTGTTTACTATTTTATGCCGTGCCTTTTTATTTACAGAAGCAAACTCTACTAGAGCCAAAAGATCTCCCTGATCTCTGTTAAAAATAGGTAGAATTCTTTCTGTAATTATAACTCTAAAGAATAAATGTAACTAATCAGTAATTGTTGCTCCTTCTCCCGTCCCCCCTCTGCCGCCGTCGGTTTTTTGTTCTGAAACTGGATATGTAAGGGTCACCTTGAATTCACACTTTTTAAAATTTTTTTTGTTTTTTGTTTTTTTGTTTTTGTTTTTCGAGACAGGGTTTACCTGTGGCTTTGGAGGCTGTCCTGGAACTAGCTCTTGTAGACCAGGCTGGTCTCGAACTCACAAGAGATCCATCTGCCTCTGCCTCCCAAGTGCGGCTGATGGTAATAGTCCCTACCACACATACTCTTGGGTATAGATTTGGGGAAACTGGCCTTTGTCTCTCTTTCCTTTGGGTGTGTGTGTGTGTGTGTGTGTGTGTGTGTGTGTGTGTGTGTGTGTGCCTGCCAGGGATGAGAGCTCTGGGACCCTTGCAGCAAGCTGTTATGTAACTAGAGATTATGTTTGTTTCTTGTCAGGACAGCGTGGCACTGAAAGGAGGTCGTGGCAGTGCCTCCATGGTCCAGAAGTGCAAACTGTGTGCACGGGAAAACTCCATTGGTAGGTCAGGCAATGACTAGCAGGTTCTTCCAGGCTGACTGGAAGCAGACTTGTGTTGTCCAGGGTGGACTTAGACCTGAAGTGCTAAAATCTGGCCAGCTCACTCTTTTTCCCTGAGTGGAGCGTGGGTATAGATTCAAGTCAACTTTTCTTCTTTGTATTTCAGAAATTTTGAGCAGCACCATCAAGTCTTACAATGTAAGTTTCCTGCTGTAGTGACAGGGGTGGTTGGATTAAATCTGAACTGGTGGCTAGGGGGAGTGGGTTCAAGAGTAGCTACATCAAAGTGGCCAGCCACTTAGACGTTGTCCTATGTGCTTAACTCTTTGTGTGTTTGAGACTAGGTCTCACTAGGTAGCTCAGGCTTGGCTCAAACTCACCATACTCCTATTTCAGCCTTCTGAATGCTGAGGTTACAGGCATTTGACACCATGCCCTCTTGCTTATTTACTCTTTAATGTACTTAGGTGTTCATTTGCTCAGTCCATCATTTGTCCAGCATGCACTGGGTGATCTGCAGTGTTTTCTTGAAAGTACAGTGGGATGAAAATTTGGACATGGTCCTGGGTAGTCACTGGGTGAGGTAGGCATGGATTTCCTGGCCACCCACTTCCAAGAGATACCCCACCCCATATCTTGTCATTCTGATACCCATGATAAACATATAGGTTTTCCTCAGATGTATTGGCAGGCAGGAAAGCTGATCCAAAGAAACTGTCTACAGAAGGTCCTACTAGGAGCAGTACCCAAGATAGGCTTCTTTTTTTATTATTATTATTTTATTTTATTAGTTCAAATTAGGAACAAGCTTGCTTCAGATGTCAATCCCTTCTCCCTCTCCCTCCCCTCTCCCCCTACATCCCACCTGCCCCTAGCCATCCCCTCTCTACTCCCCAGGCAGGGTAAGGCCTTCAAAAGGGCCTCCCCAAAGTCTACCACATCATAAGATAGGCTTCTTTTAAAAGGAACTAAGTTGTTCTGGATCCCATTCTAGGCTCATGGGTGCAATAAGGGCCCACATACAGAAAGGACAGAGGGCATGGGGTCTCCTGGGGGCCCATTGGGCCTGCCTCCTCAATACACTTCCTTTCTAGGCTGAAGACAATGAGAAGTTCAAGACAATCGTAGAGTTTGAGTGTCGGGGCCTTGAACCAGTTGACTTCCAGCCCCAGGTGTGTGTTTTTAAGAGGACTCTTGGGAAAGGGAATATAGTAACAGAGTTTTGCTTCTTACAGAGACTGTGAAATAGGAATTCTCCATTTTGCTTTTCCCTTCAGTGTTCTATCACTGAGCTACAACACAAACCTATGAATAGTAATTGTCACTTATTAAATGTCTGCTGTGCTCCATGCCCGTCACCTTTACTTGTTACTTCATTTCATTCTTACTGTAACCCTGTGGAATGATTCATCCTAAATTCATACGAGGGAATTTCAGAGATTGTGCATGTCTTAGTGTTTTATTGCTGTGCAGAGACACCATGACCAAGGCAGCTCTTATAAAGGAAAACATTTAATTGGGGCTTAGTTAAATTTAGAGTCCATTGTCATCATTCAGGGAGCATGACAACATGCTGGCAGATGTGCTAGAGGAGCTGAGCATCCTACATCTTGCAGGCACAGGAAATTGAACTGACACAGTGGGTGGTATCCCGAGAATTAGAAACCTCAAAGCCACTGGGCATTGGTGGCACACGCCTTTAATCCCAGCACTGGGGAGGCAGAGGCCAGCCTGGTCTACAAGAGCTAGTTCCAGGACAGGCTCTAAAGCCACAGAGAAACCCTGTGTGTGTATGGGGGGTGGGGGTGGGAATAAAAACAAAAAAGAACCCCAAAGCCTGCCCCCACAGTGACACACTTCCTCTAACAAGGCCATACTCCCTCCAACAAAGCTACACATCCTACTAGTGCCATTCCCTATGAGATTATGGGGGCCAAATACATTCAAACTTTGAACAGTACAGCTTACCAGATCTGTCTGATTGTAAATTGAACCTCCATCTGTCTGACTCTTGCAGTCAGTCCTCATCCTTTTATTTGTGCCCCCCCCCCCCTTGAGACAGTGTTTCTCTGTGTAACAGCTCTGGCTGAACTCACTCTGTAGACCAAATTGGCCTCAAACTCATAGAGATCCACCTGCCTCCCAAGTGCTAGGATTAAAGGTGTGTGCCACCATCACCCAGCTATTTATGCATTTTTACCTCATAGTAAATCTGTTGGATAAGTTAGAAAAAGGTGGTATTGGCATCCCCATTTCATAAACAAAAAATCCTCAGCCACACAGTCAGTTTAAAGCTAGCCTCAGATCCACAAGACCCTGTCTCAAAAACAAACAAAAGCCTAGGTTCAGAGCCAGTTATGTTGGTACCCACCCTTAATCCCAGCACTGAGGAGACTAACCTTAGCAGGTGGATTTCTGTGAGTCTGACAACAGCCTGGTGTACATAGGGAGTTCCAAGATAGCCAGAGCTATGTAGAGAGTAAGTTCCAAGTCAGCTAGAGCTACATAGTGAGACCTGTCCAAAACAAGAAAGAACAAAAGGAAGTAGAAAAAGGGAAAAAAGAGACGAGAAAGGAAAGCAGACAAGCTGGACAGTAAGCATTCTTCCTAGATGGTCTCTGCTGGTTCCCATCTCTAGGGCCCTGTCTGGCTTCCCTGGTGATGGGATATAAGCAAACTAAACGCTTCCGCTCCCAGGCTGCCTTTGGGTCATGGTGCTTATCACAGCAAGAGAAAGAAAACCAAGGCACTCTTCTAGGCCGGGGCTATAATTTAGACACACCACCACAGTGCTTATGATGAAGTTGCCTTTCATCCTGAAGGCTTTGCTAGAAAGACCAGCCCTGGACTAATCTTCACAGACAACCTTTCCCCAATCCCACTCTGTCTTCCTGTGTCCTGCAGGCTGGGTTTGCTGCGGAAGGTGTGGAGTCAGGGACAGTCTTCAGTGATATTAATCTGCAAGAAAAGGTGAGGCCTGGGGAATCCTGCAAGGTGTTACATGGTACAGGGTGGGAATCATCTTTTTGTTGAACAGGGCTTTTCAATGGAGAGCTAGCTCTGAACTTTTGTGCTTTTTGTTAGTGACTCTGCTATTTAAATGGCTGTAAGTATAGTGCTGAACTGTGGGCCCATGTGTATACATACAGGAAGGCTGAATGTGCCTGACATGGAAAGTGCACAGTAGATAAACTTCATTCAGACTCAAGTTACAGTGCTGGTGGCTCTGAACCACATAGGAAATATGCTACGTGTTTACACTTAAAACAGAGTGTTTACTTTACCAGTTGATGAAAATCTTGTGACAGATGCTCATGAGAAGCTAACCCCATCTCCCCTGGGAGCAGTAGGTGAAGTGTTTGTAGTGATCACCTGTAGTGTTGACTTGTTTCAACCCTGCAGATAGACGAGTCTTTTGTCCCATCTGTGAAGGAAGGACACCAGCTCTTATTTGCACGGCTCCCTATAACCTGCAGTAGGAGGCAGTCTGTGCCCCGCCTTGAGCCAGTTTCTGTGCTGTGCTAAGTGTTTCATTTCATCCTTCCAACCAGCATGTTACTCCCTTTTTAAATAAAGAACAACTCAACAGCCAGATGGTGGTGACACACACCTTTTTATCACAGCACTCAGTAGTCAAAGGCAAGTGGATCTCTGAGTTCAAGGCCAGCCTGGTCTACAGAGTGAGTTCCAGAGTTACACAGAGAAACCCTGTATCAAAAAAGAAAAAAAAAAAAATAAATAAATAAATAAATAAATAAATAAATGGCAGAACTTAAGCTTGGGGAAGTGACATGACTTGCCTAGTTACAAGACTGAGTTTGGGCCTGAGTTGTCTGTTCTGTCAAGGGCCTCCTACCTGCATTGCCAGCTGAGTCAGAGCCTGCACTTCTGACTCTCCCCTGTCCACACTGTCCCGTTCTGCCTTGAGAGGCTAATGCTGCTGTCTTATTTCATAGGACTGGACAGAGTATGACGAGAAGGCTCAGGAGTCTGTGGGTATCTTTGAGGTGACCCATCAATTTGTAAAGTGCTGAACTGTCTTCCTGAAAACTTGCCCATAAGAACCGAGCGGAGAAATGGTGCCCTGAGCAGCAAACCCCATGGAAGCTTCTCATCTCTGATCTCCTAGCACCTGTACCAAGCCCTCACAGTCTGCATGCTGGGGTTTGTCACGGTTCTAAGTCCCAACAATAAAGCCCCTGTTGGAGTGCAAAGTTAGTATGTGCAATACTCCCTCCACAAATAACAATGGACTCTGGAGGTCTTTGCTTTCTGATTCCTACTCTGCACCTGATCCAATTTGCAAACTACACAGGAGCCCACAGCTTATTAAGGCTCTCCATCTCTTGGGAAATAGGCAGGTCAACCTACAGGATCAAAGGCATGAAGGGCCAGTGGCACTAAGGGCAGAGAAGCCTGTGGAATGATGCTGTGAGCCGAGCAGCTCCAAACTAAAACACTCGCTGATCACCATGGTTCTCCAGTAAGCCCAGGCATCTGTTAGCTTCCAACTTCACCTCAGACCTCACTCAAGACCAGCAGCCCACTCCTGGCACACATCCTTCCACTCCACATTCCTGGCTGGCAGCCAGTCTCTTTTCATTTGCTGTGGTAGAATACTCCCTGTCAGAATCAACATGGAAGTTCTTCCTATGTGGAATCAGCCTCTGTGACCCCTGAACCTCTCGCTGGTCCTGGCTTATCCCTGTGGCCATACCTGTATGTTCTGCTTCCAGACAACTCTTTGGAACGAAGACAGCAACCATGGCCTGCTAAGTCTCATGTACCAAAGATCCCCACACAACAGAGTTGTTTAGTGCAGTACTAGGCCATGAGGATGCTTGTGCCTTCATACCTGGGAACCCACCATTTGGAAGACCTGTTGCACAGACTGTATTCCTCCAATATTCTCCAGGAGCAAAAACAAAGATTTTATTTTTTTAATTTATGTACACTTGTGTGTATTTATGTGTAGGTGTGTGGGTGTGAGTGCAGGTGACTTCGGAGACCAGAAGAGGATGTCCTGTCCCCTGGAGCTGTAGTTACAGGCCACTGTGACCCAACCAGTGTGGGTCTTGGAACCAAACTCAGGTCTTCTGCAAGAACAGTGGGTGCTCTTAACTGCCGAGCCATCTCTCTAGTCTATGCTCTTCCACTGCCGAGAGTAGAAAAGGGCATGCCATCCTCTGGCAAAACTGGCCATATCTGAGACTGGTAGGGAGGTGCCTCTACTGAGCTTCCTCTCAGGCCTGGCAGCCACGTTGTGTTCACTAAGCTACCTGTGCTCCCTGCTTCTGAGCACTTCTGCACCTGACAGAGCAGGGCTTCCCTCCTCCCTCAAGGCAGCCTCTCACCCACTAGGCCCAAGCCACAGTCTACCCTGGAAGCAAGCAGGTAGCCCTGGACTAGGAAGTAGCTTTTCTTATGTCTACTCTTTATCCAGCCAGTGTGTGTTAAGTTGATTACATTAAATACTAAAGGGATCTCTTGGTTCTAGGTGAGGGAACCCAAGTAATCATTAAGAAGTAAAGGAAAAACAAAACAGATTGTGCAGAACAGGTAACATTCAATACCTATTTAACAAAAGCAGCAACAAAGAAACTCTTAATCGCCTAAGAATTAGAAGAAAACCAAAAGAGTGTTGTGTTTACTCAGTGATGAAATGTTCAAGTGCTACACTCAAGGTCAGGGCAGAATGAGGACTTCCTCTGTCACTGCTCCTGTCCATTGTGCTGGGTCCCACCAGTGTGATAAAAGAACAAAGAACTTAGAAAAAAGTCCAAAAGAGTTGCCAGGTTTAAGACCTATGCAGAAATCAAAGGCACTTTAATACATTAACAAGCAAAACATAATTCAAGAAAGGATGCCTAAGTGTCTCTCCAGGACAGAGTACTTTCACAGCATGTGTGAATCCCTTGGGACACTCTCCAAGACCACAAAGAAATGTAATAACAAGAAAATACACCCCTTCCCCAAAGTAACTAGGATTAATCTTAATGGCATTTATAACAGCGTAGAATACCATTAGGTGCCACTGGAAGGCATTAAAGACCCATATTATGATGACATTAAAGACCTATATTATGAAGACAGATAGGAAGACTTAATGTTCAGATACCCATTTTCAAAAAATTTACATTTATAAATGTAATTGAAATTGCAATTTCTGTTTAATAGAACTTGAGTCAATTGTGAAATCCCTGAGTCACAGACTTATGTACCAGATGCCACAGTATACAGAACAATGGCAGTTAAGCTAGTATGGTATTAGCTCTGTGGTGGCCAAACAGATCAATAAACAGGTTAAACAGACCCCCTGATTAAAAAACAAAATTGACAGATGGTGTTGCAAATGAACATGTTAATTATTAACTCTATGTGTAGGGACAAATGTTCACTGAGGCAAGGTGGGAGCCCTGTTTCACTCTGCACTTGTGAGCTATGGTGTTTGATATCGAGGTGTGTGGGAGGAATGGGTTACTGGGCAAGTGCCTCCCATCTTGGGACCTTATTTTCTTCCTGTGAAAAATGAGGACAGCTTCAGCTCTGGAGTATGTCATTTGATGAGATCAATCCAAACGAGCAGGCCCACACCCTGTACAAGCTGTAAATAAAAGGTAGTTTGAGGAGTCTGGGGAGATGACAAGGTGGGAACAGACTACGGAGGGCAGAGGACACTTTGCAGGAGTCGGTTCTTTCACCGTGTGGGTTTCAGCTATCCAATTCAGACCATCAAGCTTGACAAGTGCCATTACCCACTGAACCATCATCTTACTAGTCCATTGTTTAAAATTTGTGTATGGGGTGAACACGTGCCATGATGCATGTGTGGAGGACAAAGGATGATTTGTAATAGTTTCTTTTCTTTCCACCACGTGGGCTCCTGGGAATCGAAAACAGGTTGGTGACAAGCACCTTTACCCACAGAGCCATCTCACTGCTCCCCCTACTAACTGTTGTTTGGACATTAAAAGTGCTCAGTCTGCCCTTAAATTAGCCCCTAGCAGCTTTTTAAGTACCGTCTTTATCCACAAAGCATATTCTCTAAGCTAGATCTGTGAGTAAACGTGGCTTTTTGTGACAATGTGAAGGTTGTGGTATGTTGGGCTACATGCTTTGTGTACAACAGTCTTTCCACTACTTCTCTGTGTGAGGAGAAACACCTAGGGGCTGTGCTTGGCTGGCCGTGGCAGTCATTATACAGCACTGTCTGAATGCCTCAGTAAGCCAGGTGCCAGTGGGTGAGCCCGCTCATGGGTGGGTCCCTGGGGATCAGGGGATAGGAGTGGGGAATTGTAGCTTTCAAGCCAGCCCTCCAGAAAGTTGCAGGCCTCCCAGCATTGGATCTTTTATTATTATTATTATTGTTTCCTGGCACCTTTTGTGCATCTGCACATTTGCTTGGCATTGTACCCCCAAGGGCTTCTCTAAATTAAATGCTTAAAAAGGGTGTTACACTGGAGTTCACACATTTGGAAATAAAGGGGGGAGTGGGTCACATAAGCCAATAGCTGCAGTGTCTCCTCAACCAGTCTTCCCCACTGGGAAAACTTGAAAACACAAGTTTCCTGACTTCACTGCATGCCCACCAGATGTACCTCTCCCAGGTTAAAGCCTGAGGTGGTCTAGCTGAAGCATTCCCATAGGAATGGGATGTACCTTCACCACAGGAGGAGCTGGGGGTTGCTGCGGGGATGGAGCCCATGCTGACAGCATGCTCAGCACACGGAAGCAACTGGAAACAATAATGATCTGATCAGAAATGCAAACAGGTGCAGGATGGTGGGACGTAAACCTTTAATCCCAGGACTCAGGAGGCAGCCACAGGCAGATCTCTGAGTTCGAGGCCAGCCTGGAATTACAAAGTGAGTTCAGGGACAGCCAAGGCTACACAGAGAAACCCTGTCTTCAAAATCAAAACAAACAGAGAGGAAGAGGAGAAATACAAACAGGTTACGCTGTTCTCTAGTGACCCAATACCCACTTGGAACCAGCCCAGGGCCCCAGTTTTCAGTGCCCTGCAGCCTCCAGATGGAGCCAGCCTGACTCAGGCCTGCCAGCCCTTCTTGGCAACGAGTACAAACTAATGTCTGCCATCCTGCTGCTTCCAATGTACTAGAAGAATCTGGCTGTTTCCAAATGTAAAGATAGAATCTTTGCCCAAGCTGCCTCTTGCTGCTCCCTAAAGTGGGAAACAGTTGGAAAGGAGCTTTGCCTGTGTTCCTTAGAGAGAGGGGCTGTGGCTATGAGAGCAGATTTCGGGCCCACCACCTTCCAGTTAGAGAAAAAGGGTTCCGAACAGAAAGAAAATCTAACACCAGGAGAAAGGGGTAGATGCAGATTAAATTTAGAGCCAGTTAGGAATGAACAAAGATCTGTGGCCTCAAAGTGAATCAAAGTGACTGGGAATCAGAAGTGATCTCAGGCCACAATCAAATACAACAATGACAAGACCAGGGACTTTTATCAGTTCCTTTTCTGTTGCTGTGATAAAACACTGTGACCAAGACAACTTAATGAAAAGTTTCTGTTGGCCTACTGTTCCAGAGGGATGAGGGTCCAACAGGGCAGGGAAGCATAGCAGCAAATGGCAGATGCTGGATACTGAGATCTTGACTCTTGAACTGTAAGCATGAAGCAAAGGGAGGAAAGAGAAGTATGCGAGGTCTTTTCCCCCATCAAAGCTGATCCTCAGCAAGACCATACTTCCTAAATGTCCCCAAACAGTGTTACCAATTAGGGACTGACAGAAGTTGGTGTAAGGATTCAGGCATTACGCTGGCCTGCCCCTGTCATCTGGAAGAATGCACTCAGGCAGTACTCTGGTCAGCCCAGAGTTCCTCCAGTACTAGTCTGTAGGTAAGTTCAAAGGACCCCTTTAAAAGACAGACCCCCCCCCCCCCGCCCTACTTACAATCTCTTGCTTTTTATGCCTCTTACTCTTCTTTCTGCTTTTTCTGCTCTTTCTCTCCACTCTCCTCTCTTTCTGCTCCCGTCTCCCTCTTCTTTTCTGTCCTCTGTGTCTCTTTACCTCTTTTCTCTTTCCTTCCCCCTCCCTCCCTTTCTAATAAAACTTATCATTCAAGCTCTGTCTGCCTGGTGTGTTTGTTGTCCCCCCCCAACCTCGATCACCCTCGACAGCCATGGAATCTGCCATGGGACCCCAGTCCAGCTTTATCCTAGAATTTGAAGCAAAAGAACAACAGTTAGTACCAGGGACTGGGGCATTGCAGAGATAGGCCTGATCGTGTGCTTATTTGGACTTAGTTGGACTTTAGTACTTTGGGTTTGGAAAGCAGTGCAATACTTTAAGCACTGCTTAATGGGCCATACTAGCACTGGAAGCCAGTGATGCTAAGAGTTATTTGAATCATGGGGGACTCAAGCGGTTTCAGAGGGGAGGAATTTTAGGATGTTGCTAGACATCATTCTTGTGATATTTTGGTGACGAAAGTAGCTGTGTTTTGCCCTTGCCCAAAGAGTCTGCCTGAGGCTAAAGTGAAGAATTTTGGGTTAATTCCATTGGCAGAAGAAATCTTAAAACAGCCTAGTATAGACTCCGTTATAGGGATATTAGTGGTATCTGTAATGAAGATTTATAATGAAGAGGAGCAAACTGAACAGGGTAAATTACAAAAAGGAAATTTTGAGGAGAAAAAGAGCACCAGGAAGTAGAATAGAACTAAATCTTATGTTCAAGAAGATAAACAGATTAAGAAATGGAATAAGGGGCTAGAGAGATGGCTCAGCAGTTAAGAGCACTGATTGCTCTACCAGAGGACCCAGGTCCAATTCCCAGCACCCACGTGACAGCTCACAGTGGTCTGTAACTCCAGTTCCAGGGGACTCGACACCCTCACACAGACATACATGCAGGCATAACATCAATATATATAAAAATTTAAAAACATTTAAAAAAAGAAATGGATAAAGGGAGTGGTGACCTCAGGCAAGATCCCACCCAGCTAAATTTCCAACTTGTGGAAAGAAACTAAAGAAAAGCTTAGATCCAGGTGTGTTGGGACATGCCTTTTATCCCAGCACTCCAGAGGCAGAGGCTGGTGGATCTCGGAGTTTGAAGCCAGCCTGGTCTACAGAATGAATACAAGGACAGCCAAGATTAATCAGTGAAAGACAGAGAGCTGGTGAAGATAATATTAAACAAGGGGGCCATGTTCCAGCCCCAGAAAGCTGCAGAACTTAGCGGCTTTGGCCACATGATTCTGGGTTTAGAGTTAAGGACAGAATAAAGAAGTTATGGATAAAGCCCCTGAGGGCATGTGTCAGGGGTGTCCCTGAATGGAGGCCAAGTAGAGAGGCCATTGCATGAAGCTGTGAAGTTGAAGCCTGGATTGCCCTGGAGAACCCAAGACATTAGAGATGCCAGAGTAGTGGGATACCTGCTGAGGAAAGCTGCTAACAGGAAGTGAAACCAGCCCAAGAGAAAGAAATCTGTTGCAGTCAACAAAACTGAATGGAGTTGGAGATTTAAAGAGTGTTACAACATCAGACATGGAGATGCAGAGTTTAGAGTTTTCCCAGCTGGTTTTCAGTCTTGCTTTGTGTTAGCATTTAGGCATTTATACTGGCCTGTCTTTGGAGTTCTGACAGGATACTCCCTCAGCTGCTGCCACTAAGAGCACCACCTGTGCACATTCACTATGTTCTCTTTTAAAGGGCCCTGCCCACCTCCCATCCCTCCCCTCTTTCTTCCTCTCCCTCTGTCTGTCCCTCTCTCTCTCTCTCCCTCCCTTCCTCCTACCCTCCCTCCCCCTCTTTCTTCCTCTCCCTCTGTCTGTTCCTCTCTCTCTCTCCCTCCCTCCCCCTCTTTCTTCCTCTCCTACTGCTCCTGTCCCCAGAGGCCAGCCTCCTCCCTCCCCTTTCCCTTTTTACAATCCTTTTCCCCTAATAAAAACCCCTCCACTTGAACTCTGTCAGATGTTATCTTTCTCTCTTGAGCTGCTTTTATTTTTTAAATTATAATACTTCGGTGCAGTATTTTCTTGCTATGTTCCCTTTCCTACATTTTGGAGTGGTAATAAATATCCTGTGCCATTATATGTTGGAACTATGTGATCTGCATTTTGATTTTTACAGGTGATTACAGTTAACAGATTGCATGAATCCCAGAAGAGACTTTGAACTTTGGAGTTTAAAACAATGTTGAGACTATGATAGACTAGGGGGACTTTTGAGGTTGGACTAAGTGTGTTTTACATTATGATATTGTTATAAGCTTATGGGGGTCAGGGAGTAGACTGTGTTAGTTTGAATGCAATTGACCCCCATAATCACAGAGGGAGTGATGCTATTTGGAGGTGTGGCTTTGTTGGAGTGCATATGGCCTTGTTAGAGGAAGTGTTTCAGCATGGGGGTGTCTTTGAGATTTCATATGCTCTAGATACCACCCAGTGTGTCAGTCGACTTCCTGCTGCCTTCTGGTCAAGATGTAGTAGCACTCTCAGCTCCAGCATCATGTCTGTCTGCATGCTACCTGCTCCCTGTCATGATGATAATGGACTGAACCTCTGAAACTGCAAGGGAGTCACTCCATTTAAAAGTTTTCTTTATAAGTGTTGCTGTGGTTGCTGGGCAGTAGTGGCACACGCCTTAGATCCCAGCACTTAGGAGGCAGAGGCAGGCGGATCTCTGTGAGTTCAAGACCAGCCTGGTCTACAAGAGCTAGTTCCAGGACAGCCTCAAAAGCTACACAGGGAAACCCTGTCTCAAAACAAAACAAAACAAAACAAAACAAAACAAAAAAGAGTTGCTGTGGTCATAAAGTCTCTTCACAGAAATAGTAACTCTAAGACAGGGACCAAATATTCAAGTGCCAGACACTAATGGGGGACATTTCTCATTCAAACCACAGGTTGGGAACAGATTAGGTAACAAGTGCTGTGTGTAAAGAGCGTGATGCTAAGCAGTCTGATGAGGTTGCACACAATACTCACTATGGTCTAGAGATCACCCTGCGAGATGCAGCTGTGCAAAAACCAGAGTTTGAACCAGGGGAGAGACAGGCGTGATAAGCTTTTACAGAGCTGAGGAGACAGCACAGCTCCATCAAAACCAGCACATCCATGTTGGGTAGAGTAGCATAGCTAGGAGACACTAACTTAGCTTTTCACAACCCTCAGTCATTCTCTCTGAACCTTCTCCTAAGTCCCAACGACCAAACTGAAGCACAATTCCACCGAAGTTCACTCTGAGGAACCAATGAGTTTATTAGGCTTCCTTATAGCACATAGATGAGGGGTTACTTACAGGGATGGGCACTTCTCCCCCAATTGACCACACCTGGAAAGTTTTACCCAACAGAGATCAGAGTGTCCCTGTAGCTGCACTGATGGAGCTCCACCCCTGACCCCACCCCAGTCTTCCTGGCTTATATAGCCCAGTTTCAAGTTTCTGGCCCATCTCCACTATGGCACCCCAATCACCGGGATGGACCGTACTCTTTCAAACTGAGCAAAAATAAATCTTTGCTTAAGTTACTTTTTATTACAATGACAAGAAAAACTATGACTACACCATCCAAGCCACCATTTTACCATGAGTCTAAGACAAGGAAAAAGGGTAGGGAGTGACAGGAACACTGGGCACTATGATAATCAGTATACACCCAAAGTTCAGCCACCCTGAACCTAAGCATTAAGTATAGTTTCAACCTAACATGATTCAGTGGGAGCATCAGTCTTAATCAGCAATGCTACAGGAAACTTGCTACCCAAATGGAGTCAGAAGCTCCCTAGAGAACAGATAAGAATCATCAGACATCACAGCAGACAATACAGAGCACCCATGTACCAGGAAATTTACCCAAGTTACAGCTAATCCTTATATGAATCTCACTATAGAAATGAGAGAGGATTAAATGAAGGAATGAATTAAAAGTGATTTGTGAGGGACCTATATCAGAATTCAAATCTCAACTGTATCAAGAACTCAGTACAGTAAGATTATATACAAAAATCCATGCGCGCACACACACGTGCGCACACACACACACACACACACACACACACACACACACACACACACACAAATTTCTCCCCTTTCATGTTACAGCAACATCATAACAAATGGGAGTGGAAAAAATATCAGTGCTCATTTCCCTCAGTGGATATGTTCTCTACCACAAAATATATACATGTGTTGCTACCAGTGAAACACATGCCCATTAGAACTAGAATTCCTGGGCTGAAGAGATGGCTCTGAGGTTAAGAACATGTACTGTTCTTCCAGAGGACCCAAGTTCAGTTCCTTGTACCCTCACCAGGCAGTTCATAACCACCTATAACTCCAGTTCCAAGGGATCTGATGCCTCTGGCCTCTGCAGGCTCATGCACTCTCACACACATATCCACATGCAGACACACACAGACACAATTTAAAAAAAAAAAAAACTCTTTAAAAAACTGAATTTCTCAACGGGCAATGGTCGTGCACACCTTTAATCCTAGCACTTGGGAGGCAGAGGCAGGCAGATCTGTTAAGTTGGAGGCCAGCCTGGTCTACAGAGTGAGTTCCAGGATAGTAGGGGCTACACAGAGAAACCCTGTCTCAAAAAACTAAACAAACAAACAAACAAACAAAAAACCCCACAAACCAAAAACAAAAAACGCCAAAACTGGAATTTCTCATCTGGCTGGAAAAGAATAAAATTATGTCGTCTTCCAACCCATATCAAGAGCTTCTATTGCAGCTGACCCACCAGAAGCAAGCAGATTAGTCCTTGCCTTTGGAAGGAGTGCTTTCAATAGACTGCATCCCAGAGACTGGGGCAAGCTTACAGACAAACAAGACCCATGCCACCTCAAGACTGGGGACCCAAGGTCACCACTATCCTACCTGATCATGCTGTTGGAAAGTTCTTTGGGCAATTAGAAACCAGGTGACAGATAAAAAAGGGAATCGTATCTCCAAGCAACAACGCAGTTTTATTTCTGTTTAAACAATAAATACACAAGAGTTAGGAGTTAGTTTTCCAAACCCTAGTTCTTGAACGAAGGGCTTTGAGTGGCAACCTCTCATTATCTTTAGCTGGAATCTTCCTGCTCATGCCTGAAGCACTGGCTAGTCGAGCACCTCAGGGCTAGTTTTGTTAGGTACAGAATAGTAACTACAGGCTACATGAACATCCATGTTCATGATGAAGAATTTCACCCACTGAGAAGCTAAGTTTTGATGGCTTTGCCTTCTAAGGTGTCGAACATGTCCTCTAAGCACTTGTTGACACATTGGAGAAACTCGCCGGGATTGCGTCCTGTGTAGGAGGAGACGTTGCAGCCTATCCAGTCATCATGAACAGCATATGCAATGCCAAAGCCGTCAGGGACCACAGGGGCAAAGCCGCCAAGACTCACTGCTGGGCTGTTTAGAGTGCTCGTAGACAGGATGTTGTGGTTTATCTGCCTGTATGCAGGATCCAGGTAAAGCTCCGGCAGGGTGACCCCTCTGGCTACTGCCAGATGGTGTAGAGCAAACAAGTGTCGGTCAAAGCCCTGGCCTGTCAGAGACAAAAAAGGAAAGTCAAAGTCTCAGGCTGTCCCCAGTGAAGAGAGTGTAAGCAAACCCCCAACCATGGTAGGAACCAAAGGTGAGAAAGGGGCCTTTTTCACCCCTGAATGCCTGTCTCTGGCTCATCATAGGGCAGGTCACTCCAGAATGCCTAAGAACTATATTCTCAGCTGTCACCAGATGGTTTAAACATGAGCCTAAGATGATTTGGTACATGCCTGTAATCCCAGAACTTGGGAAGTTGAGGCAGGAGAATTGCAAGTTCAAGGACGGCATGGACAACAAGGCAAAAACCATGTATTAAAAACAAATAAAAGGGGCTGGAGGGATGGCTCAGAGGTTAAGAGAACTGACTGCTCTTCCAGAGGCACTGAGTTCACATGGTAACCACATGGTGGCTCACAGTTATGAGATCTGGTGCCCTCTTCTGGTGTGCAGATATACATGGAAGCAGAATGTTGTATACA